AGCACAAGGTGAAGCCAAGGATACGATCAGGGCTTTACGGGCGTACCTGCCAAGCAGCCCTTCACCTGCAAAAGAGTGATTGGAGTGGGACAAGAAAGCTGAACTTGATCTGACCATGTTTACACCTGAGTTACTTCCATGATCATGGGGAACTTGAGTGCTTTCCCTAAAATCATCAAGACAAAAGCCATAGTGAATGGAAACACAGAATCGTTCAGGCTGCAAGTGACCTCACAGCAAGGTCACCCGTGGGGCCAGACCAGTTTGCACAGGACTTTATTCACGTTGGTCTTCAAACCCTCCAAAGATGGAGATGGCACCTACTCTCTGGAAAACCTCATTGATCATTGGCCCTCATGCATTCCATCATGCACAACAGTGAAGAGCCTGACTCTTCCAGATTACCTCCTGGTAGGTGTGGGAAGGTTGTTCTATGGTCTCCTCAAAGCCTTCTTTTCCACTGAGTCAACAAATCTAGCTTTCTCAAACTTCCACAGTGAGGAAGTCAATGTTACGCATTCAACCTGAGTGTCCTGAGATGTTTAAGGCTCTTCCAATCCTGCTGGATTCTCTTGAATCTGCCAAAGACTTCAGGGTTCTTAGAATATCATCACCCTCCTGCTATAGCTTTATGCATAGCATCATAGAAGGAAAAAGAAACAGTTCAATCTCTGGAAGCAAGGTCAGGCTTCGCAGGAAGATTACAGAGCCGTGGTTTGCATATATGCAGGGAGAAGACCCAAAAGACCAAAGCTCAACAAGAGTTGCGACTGGCCAGGGTTGTGTCAGACAAAAAGAAGGGCTTTTTCAAGTATGGGAATGGCAAGAGGAGGAGGAAGTCAAACGGAAAACATTGGACTGATACTTGTTGAAGATGGTCACCTGATGACTAATAGGGATGAAGACCAAGCAGAGGCGTTCCATGCTTTTTCTTAGAATCATAGAATATCTCGAGTTGGAAGGGACCCATAAGGATCATTGAGCCCAACTCCCTGCTTCTCGCAGGACTACCTAAAACTAAACCATATGGTGAAGAGGAGCGTTGTGTAGGCGCTCCTTGAACTCTGACAGGCTTGGTGCCATGACCACTTCCCTGGGAAGCCTGTTCTAGGGACCGACCGCCCTCTCAGTGAAGAACCTTTTCCTCGTGTCCAGCCTGAACTTCCTCTGATGCAGCTTCATTCCATTTCCTTGTGTCCTCTTGCCTCGGTCTTTAATAATACTGATAGGCCTTGGGCTGCCCGGTCTTCTTAGTTGGAGGATCATGACTGCGGGAACAGTAGCTGAGTCCATTTGTGGACCTTGAAATTGTAAGGGACCAGTTGTATCAGCTGCATGTTCCCAAGGCCATGGGGCCTAATGGGATTCAGCCCAGAGTAATGAAGGAGCTAGCGGATGTTAGGAATAAATTTTTTTAGGATGCAGGTGGTGCGACACTGGAACGGGTTGCCCAGAGAGGCTGTAGATACCCCATCCCTGGAAGCATTCAAGGTCAGGTTGGATGGGGCTCTGAGCAACCTGATCTAGTTGAAGATGTCCCTGCTCAGTGCAGCAGGGCTGGACTAGATGACCTTTAAAGGTCCCTTCCAACCCAAACCATTCTATGATTCTATGACAAGCCCATGGGGCCTAAGGGGTTTCAACCCAGAGTACTGAAGGAGCTAGCAGCAGGACCCCTCTTGATCATCTACTGAAGGTCTGGGGAGTCTGGGGAGGTCCCCACTGGCGGGCAGTGAGCCAATGTAACTCCAATGTGTGCAAGAAGGGTGAGAGGGAAGACCCAGGAAATGACAGACCTGAGGCCTAACCTCAGTACCTGGCAAAATTATGGAGAAGATCAAAATATAAATTGTTGTGCTGGTTTTGGCTGGGATAGTTAATTTTCTTCATAGTAGCTGCCATGGGGCTATGTTTGGGATTTGTGCTGGAAACAGTGTTGGTAAACAGGGATGT